AATTAAAAAAAAATAATAAAAACTTGATTGATTGATTTATTGGTCCATTGATTATTGATTGATTGATTGATTGATCGATTGATTGATGGATTGATTCAGTGCTAAATAAAAAATAAAACTCCTGCTACTTTTGAGTGTATAGCGAATATGGCAACACAAACACAGAACCCTTTTTTTTCTATCAATCAATCAATCAACCAACAACCAATCCAGCGTCAATCAATCAATGGAATTGAATCAATCAATCAATCAAATCTTTTTTCTTTTTTTTTTTTGTTCCTTACACTCGTTTTAATTTTCCTTCTTACTTTTCCAAAATCTAAGAACGAACCCAAAAAAAAAAAAAAAAAAACGTTATCGGGTTGCAGAGCTTTCTGTGCTCTACGACCCCCCCTTTTTTTTTTTTTTGCTTATTTTTAGGCATCAGACACACTATACTACGGCCTTGGTACAAATGGCCTTATTACGAGCGGCTGTACAACCGCTTGTACGGCCGTACGATAGGACCCCTGCACGACGTACGGGGGAAGACGCAGGTCGGAGGGTCGCGTAACCCTGATTCGTCATCATACCCTTGACACTATACAGTGTTAAACATTGCCATGTCAAGGGTATGATGACTAATCAGGGTTAAACGGCACTCAGGCATGACCAATAACTCTTTTCAACAGGAAATTACTACTTGCGACGATACATGGCACTTGCGTTTTTTCCTGTCTCAACTCGAATGCACGGCCCGTATAGGGGCTAGGTGCATAATTCTGTTTGTCGCAGTGGGTTTACAGCGGCGTCCGAGGGCCGTTTAACCCCCCGGATTAGTTGTCATACCCTTGACATTGTTAACATTATACACCTCGTCTCATTGGATCACTGGCGAGTGGAAAATACTTGCTGGGCACACTTGCGGTCTTACCTCGTAGTAGACAGAAGACTCAGAAATTCAAAAACGTGTTTTAGCTGTCAGCCATTACTGGACTAAAGGGCACCAGACTGCGTGGGCCTTTGCTTAGATCATGCTGAATTTCAGACTGTTTTTGTGCCTGAATTCGCTTGTGATGATGCCCAGATACGTTCACAACATGCCCTCTTGTGTGTGTTTTTTTAACTTTTTTTTTTTTGTTTCTGCCCTTAGCCATAAATAGATAGTAGAAGATGATCTTACTTACCTACGAACCATGACTATCCCCTTCCTTACTAGTACTACTATTAAAGCACCAGTACACCACCACACATCGGCCCGGGGGTGTCAGCGTGAAACCCGCACCACTTCGGAGGCCGCCAATTTTTTTTTTTTTTTAAAACAGCGCCCCACGCCGCGCAGCCCGTCCGAGTTTTACTTGTGGCGACAAAATACTTCCTGCAAGGCTGGGGCCGCCGTGTCTACCAGCTACAGCTCTATTTCTTAGAAGGTGTCTTTTGTTTTTGCCTGAATTCACTTGTGAATTCATGCCCAGATTCGTTCACAACATGGAGAGGGGAGAGGGAGGGCCGCTATGAGAGAGGCGGGCTATGGCGGCCGATGACGTGAAGAAGAAGAAGAAGAAGAAGAAGAAGAAGAAGAAGAAGAAGGAGGAGGAGAAGAAGAAAGAGAAGGAGAAGGAGGAGGAGGAGGAAGAAGGAGGAGGAAGAAGAAGAAGAAGAAGAAGAAGAAGAAGAAGAAGAAGAAGAAGAAGAAGAAGAAGAGGAAGAAGACGAAGAAGA